CTCTACTTGATAGAGAATAAGAGGCATTGAATTTGTAAAAAGTAAGAAATAGTCTATGGCAGAATGTGATGAGTTTGGATCCTCTCCAGCACTCCTCTTCGGCTCTTCCTCCGGTCGACAGACAGGATTCCGTCACGTCATCCATGCCAAAACTTACAGCTCAGATTAACTAAAAAAAGAAAAAGAAAAAGTTGAATGGTTCTGTCCCACGTCAACTCACACACACACTCACTCTCACTCTCACTCTAACTTTCACTCTCACTCTCTCTCTCTCTCTCTCTCACACACACACACACACTGTCTCTCTCTCTCTCTCTTCTAATAAAAAAATAAAAAACTATTTTAATCTTTTTAATTTTATTTTCATAATATTTTTCAAAATTAATATCATTAAAATATATCTTTAAAATGAGAGTAATATTAAATATATTTAATAAATAATTAAAATAAATAAAAAATAATTACTATGTTTAGTTATGTTTTGAAATTATTATTTTTTAAATATAAAAATTAATTTGATGAAATAAACACACAAAAATCACATATTTTTGAAATTCTCAAAAACAATCTTCATTCCAAAAAAAAATCATATGAAAATAATTTTTTTAAAGGAAATAAAAAACACACAAATCCAATCTTTGCCTTTTAAAAAAAAAACACACAATTCTAATATGTGCATAGGTGCATGTGTTTTTTTATTTTCATATGATTATTTTTTTTGAAATGAAATTTGTTTTTGAGAATTTCAAAAATATATGATTTTTGTGTGTTTATTTCATCAAATTAATTTTTACATTTAAAGAATAATAATGATATATTTTCATCAAATTAATTTTTATATTTAATATTAGTGTCATTTTAAAAGTACATTTTTAATGATATTAATTTTATAAAATATTATGAAAATAAAATTAAGATTAAAATAGTTTTTTTAATTTTTTATTAGGAGAGAGCGAGAGCGAGAGAGAGAGAGAGAGAGAGAGAGAGAGAGAGAGAGTGTGTGTGAGTTGACGTGGGACAAATATGTGTGTTGAATGAAATTCAACAAGTCAACTTTTTTTTTTTTAGTTAATCTAAGCCATAGGTTTTGTTATGGATGACGTGGTGGAATCTTATCCGTTGACCGAAGGAAGAGCCGGAGAGGAGCGCTGAAGAGGATCCGGACTCGAATGTGATAAGACTCTCTATGTATTACCAAGACAATATAGAAATATTATATTAGTTAAATATTGTAATAGAGAGATAAACATTGGTCAGAGAGAGTGTTTCTTGGGATAGAAAGAGACAGACATTGGTTAGTGGGAAAGATAAACAATAATTAATAACAGAGATATATTTCAAATGCCTCCTATAGCTATTCTTTTTATATAAAAAGGTCGGTCGGTTCGGCTTAAGCGGTTCTATTTTCCTCAAATCCATTTCCGATCGTTAAAAAACATATTTAGGATTTTTTCAACTGTAGCCAACCGTTCTCTATGATGAAGCCGACCGTTTTGGCTCGGTTCGAGTCGGTCGGTTTAGCTGGGTCGATCAATAATTTGAACTGCCCTAGACACGAATTAGGATCCTCTACTTGCACTCTCTCCTTATCTCCCTACTTGCAATGATGGAGATGTATTTTAAGATGATCCAACGGCTTAGATTTGGCTATTTTAAAATTTAAAAAAAAAATTATTTTTTGAAATAATCAGATCTAAACCATTGGATCATCCTCAGGTGCATCTCTACCATTGCAAGTAGGGATGCAAGGAGAGAGTGCAAGTAGTGGATCTGGACTCCCTAGACGCATAAAGCACTGTTCATCAGAACCTGAAATTACTATTCACTTCATATCCATACCTTATATATATTGTATAGATAAATGAATAAATATATGTATATTTGTAAATTATTTTAGAATTGGCTAAGCATCTCTAATTCTTCACATTTATAAAAAAAAAAAGTTTGATGAAAAAGTGCTAAAAATTCATCTTCAATCATTTCATCAAATGTTTATAAAATCAAGAGAGAGTAATTTTTTCCATCAAATTGATTACTCGCCAAATTTAAATTTAATAAAAATTTAAAATGACGAAGCATTGGAGATGTGTGTTTTCTTCATCAAATATGATAAAAAGAGGGAAATTTGGAGTAAACGGGTAATTTTCAAAAAGATTTTAATGAAAATTTGATGAAAGGATTGGAGTAGTTTATTTCAAGTCAGGTTTTTTTACTTAAATTTAGAATAAAATTAAATGAGAATATTTGTGAAGGTTAGGGATGCTGTGAAAGACTGAATTGTTATATGTGTTGGGTTAGTGAAATTTTAGGGCCAACGAACCACAAGACAGTGACAATTCAGCCTGGGGGCAAAGATTCGGTAGTGCTTGCGACTTCTGAGCCCTGTTTGATAAGACTTATTTCCAGCTTATTTCAGCTTTTAGCTTAATTTAAGCTATTTTGATGTGTTTGGTTCAGCTTAACAATACAGCTCATAGCTTTTTGTAAGTCAAAAATCAACTTATGCTTTGAGTGAGGGAGGAGAAACTTAATTTATAAGTCAAAAATCAGCTTATGTTCACAGTTATAAGCCATAAGTTGTTAGGCTATAAGTTATAATCACTTTTCCATAGCTTTACCAAACGGGGCCATAAAAGCAGAACAAGCCTGCAACTATTTGCTTCATAAGTCAATCCTGAAGAAGGAGTTCCCTGGATGGCTAAGGTCGTTACCAATCAGGTATTGAATGATTTTGTTTACGACATGTACTGTGGTTTTGGGCATGTTTGGTGAATTTTTTTTAAAATTAAAAGTTGATAATCAGAAAGTAGAAGTTAGAAATATTCTTATTCTAGCTTCTAAATAATAAAAAAAAAATTAACTTATTTAAGGTATTTCAGCTTAATAAGTTATAAGCAGAAACTACACCAAACAATCTGACACAAAACTCCCAAATCAAAATAAGTTATAATCGCCTCCAAATACTGTAACAAACCATCCCTTTGTTCAGTTTGGTTTTGGGCTTCTACATGTTGGGTTTGTATTTGCAAGAGGCATATTGGGTTTTTTAACCTAATTATGGATTGGTGGAGGTTGGTAATTGGAAAAGTGTGTTTGGTTTTAATTTTTGGGATTCAATTTTTTAGAAATTGAGTTTTTTATTTTTTATTTATTTTTTTGGTGAATATTTTTAAAATTTTAAACAATTTTTTTTACTTTTTTAGATGCAGCTTACTTAGATGTACTTAAAAAGTAGAATATTTATAAACAAATATATTTTAAAAAATTAATAAATACACAAGAATACAAAAAATGTACTGAATTCTCATATATTTTTTTATATTTTTGGTATTTAGTGAATTTTCTAAAGACTTTTTTCACAAGTATTATACTTTTTAAGTGTATTTATGTTAGGTATATCTAAAAAGTTAAAAAATTGCTTAAAATATTTTAAAAACTCAGTTAAAAACAAAAAAAAAAATACAGAAAATAAAAAAATTTAATTTTTTAAAAAGTAAATTCTGAAAATCTAAATCAAACAAGCTGAATTGTTTTCATGGACTGATTGTAGATGATTTTAAATGATTTGGTACAACGGAGTTATAAAATGAAAAGCTGGCTGCTGAGATGGTGTATTCATGCTTAGAAGGACAAATTACTATTTAATTACCTCATTTGTTACTCCATTGTTCTACTAGTAATGAGTTCTAGGTGGGGATGGGCAAAGTTAGTCTTTGTTTGGTAAGAATTTTTTTAGTCTAACTTTTTGGAGTTGAGGTTTTTTTTAGTTTGGGACTAAAAGGTTCGTTTGAAAAGAATTTTTTGACTTTTGTGAGAGAAAAATTAAAATAATTATGATTTGAAAGTGACATTTTATCTTATTAACTTATTTAACTTATTTTATATTTTCGAACTTTTTTAATCCCAACTAAAGTTGCCAAACGAAACTTTAATAGAAGGTCAAACACATAATTTCTACTATACCACAAATGATGTATCGTTATGGGGTTATCAGAAACTCCATAATTTTTTATTTTATTTTTGTGTTTGTGTATGTATTGCTGAGAGAAAAGTCAAGAGTTACATGTACATGTACTATCACAAAATATAATATTTCCTCCATGTCATTTTGTTTGTCCATTTTGAGGACTACAACTTTTTACATGGACATGCAATATGCATTGGAATTCAAATTTAAAGGCATCATTTCCAACAATTGCACCTTTATTACCCACTTTTAAATATACTTATGACTATTTATAAGGGATAGTTTTAGAAACTTACACTCTTTATGCTTTGATATTTCAAAGTGGACAACAAAATTGGATGGAGCCTGGAGGGAGTAAGCCTCTACTTATGTCAAGTTGATATTCTTAGTGTTGATTGCCACTTACGTGACACTTGCGCTGTGACACTCTTTGTTCATTTCACACACCTTTCGTACAATTTTTACACATTTTTTTTCTTTTCCTTTTCAAATTCATGAGCCAAACGCAACTTTGGCGTTACTTTTTTTGGTGTTGAAAGTGAAAGGAGTGGAGTTGAAAACTTGGCTGAAGCGGAAGCAAGTATAATATTGATTTGACCCTAGATCAATCTTGTAATATTTGTTATAAGCCGGTCTTATAAGGTTTTACATTTACGTATTTGCTTGCAATGATTTGGTTTCTGATATAACTCTCTTCATGAATCCCATTAGAAATGGTCTATCATGACTCTTTTCATTTTCATTTCAAGCAGTATGTAATTTTGATGATGGTGTTTTTGAACCTTCCATCTAATTGAAGCCTTCTGAAGTGATTTTCTATGGGTATATGGTATCTTTATTGAGAATGTACTTTTCCACTTTGATATCTTCAAAGTTTTAAAACACTTCACAGCCGTATTTCTCCTCACTTGGATATATCTTGATCTTTTAAAGAATCGATTGCAACTTAATTCCTTGGCTTCCAATTACATTTCCAGCAAGTTTCATTTTTTACCTTTACCAAAAGTGGAATAAATGTACTCCCAAATCCTCTTATGCCATGATGAGCTATTAACATGTAAGAAGATCCCTCTTGCACTGGTATCTTCAATGAAATTTTTTTGTTACGCTTGTTGGACAATCTTCACTATATTCAAAGAATTAAAGAAATGAGAGAAACTGTTTGATTACAAAAATCAAAACAATATATAAAATGAAATAAAACAAAAAATTCTTATTTTGTTACAAAAACAAAATCAGAATCTGATAAAAATAAAAAACAAAAGGTAAATTAATTACTTACCTCATTAATTTGTCGAACAAATTTTATGATCAAGTCCAGTGTTGAACACTGTATCCTTAAGACAAATTCGTCCTCTTTACGATACTTTTAGATTGTGGACATCTATCTCCCAATATAAAATGATCAACAATGAATAGTAGCAGCACTACAAACTATTCGTACAACGAACAACCTTTGTATTTACACTTTTCTCTTTCTCACAGGAAAATAATGCAGCAAATGTAGAGAGAACAATGGCAAAATTGAGGACGAAAATTAAGTAAAAAATTTAAATGAGAGACTGCCTATTTAAAGATAGAATAATAGTTGTTTGGTTTGAATCCAACAGGTAGCAAACCTGTTCGAACAGGTACAAGACCTGTTCGGTTTGAATGAACAGATACAAACCTGTTCAGTTTGAATTTTGAATAGATACTGAATCTGATTGGTTTAAATTCAAACAGATAAAAAACCTGTTCGGTGGAGGAAAAAATTGGACAGATTTCGGAATTAATTTTGATTTTTAAATTTCTAAATAGGTAAGACTTTTAATTTTAGAAAAAATAAAATTCAAAAAGTTTTTAGCCCAAGACAAGCCTAACCCAACCTCATACCACCCACCTGTACCTAGGCCAGCCTGCCCCGATGAGTGGCGGCGTGCGTGTGTTTGTTTTGGGTTCAATGAGTCTAACCCACTTTGCCCATAATCTCCCCTTGTACAAAACTTGAGTGCCCCAAGGGGCCTACCCCATGTTCCAAACCCAAGTCTTATAAACCCACTCAAAGTTTGCCCACCAAACTGATGTGGGACAAACTTTAACTCAAACCTTTATGGAAATTCTACCAAAACACTATTTTCATGGAGCTCATTTTTACTTCAATTTCTCATTCATCCGATAATGGTTTTGATCAACCAAATATACTACATGAATTACAACACGGCATAAAACGCGTTACCACTTAGACCCACCAACTTTGGAGCATGAGTCCCACCTAAAAATTAGACCAAAGTTAAGGAAAAATCTAATTTTTCCAAAACCATTTCTAGCAATGCTTGGCTTATGAGCTTTAGGTATTAAATGAGAATCCCTTTTGCATTTCTCGGGTCGCATCATTTTGTGTTGTTGGTTGCTTGCATTCACGACCCTAAGTGTCAGGGAAATCCATGAAGCTAATGTTCGTCATAATGTTTTAAAAATTAGACTGGACTGAACTGTTCAACAGGTTGAATCATTGATCGATCTAGGGTCCAGTTCAAATATATCCACTTAACCATTCCCACTTGAAAGCAGTTATTTTAAGTTAAATCGGTGAGATTCGTAGTTAAACTAGTAAACCGGACGCCCTGGTGTGGGTTGGAGCAAACTAGACCGGTTTGCTACATATGGTCCAACATTGAAAAAATTAATGTTAAGAGGAGTTGAACCTAGAACCTTTTTTTAAAAAAAATAAAATAAAATCCCAAGGGTTGGTTGAGTTGGTAAGTCAACGACCTGCATAACCAAAGGTCCCAGGTTCGAAACCTATACCAACCTCTTTATAACCCTTGACTGAAATTGGGGAGTGAGGGGTGGGTTCATCGACATCTTTCCCAGGTTGGCTTGTAGGGTCAGATAATAAATGGACCCAGCCTTAGGGATTCCTGGTCAAAAAAAAAAAAAAGAATCCAAAACATCAATCTCTAAGAAAGCATGAATTTCCACTATGCCACCATGGTGCCTTCAAAATATATATGAGATATATAATATTTATTGTATTCAAAATAATTTCATTAAAAAACATATATAATTAATGTTTTTACAAACAATATTAATATAAAAATTATATAAACATATTTGTTTGATAAATATATATCTTGAATTATAAAAATATTTTAAATGAATGTATTTTATTTATTTTTAAATTAATATAATAATTATAAAATATTTATGACACCTCTATTCGAATTCAACCCAATGATTAGGTTTTCTTTGTTTCGGTTTTACATTTACTTGTCATCAGTGTGTGGGTGATTTTCCGACCACACTGCCCGCTTAGTAACCAGCTGGAGAATAGATGGCACCTGACTAACCTGCAACAGAAATACAAGAATCCCGCGGTGGTTTCGACCACCCGGGGGCACTCCGATGATCAAGTCAGTATACCTCTCAAAGATAAATCAAGTACTAAACTCACAAGCTTGAGTATCAAAAGCATACCATAGACCCATGGGGGTGCCTCTCTTTTATAGCCAATATAATCCTAGTCCCAATAGGAGCCTGGCCCTAATGGACTTAGGATTACTGCTAATCTGGGACTCCCAGTGGGATTAGGATAAACTCTCTAAGAGTCTTATCTTTACCAACTGAAGTCTTCTCCAATCTAAGACTCTTGTCCATCCAAGTTGAGTTCCCCTCTTCATCCTAGGACTCTTGTCCTTTATCCGCTTATCTCGGATCCCGATATCTTCGAAATAACCTCGGCCTTGCCGAGATCACCTCGGCGTCATGACCAGGACACGTGGCCATTCGACTGACACGTCGGCGTCACCTTGCACGTGTTGGTATTCAGAAATAATCCCAAACTGCCCCTAGGTTCTATTACCTCGGCATTCTAGAGGTGATAGAACTTACACTGTTCGTTCATCTGTGCCCCTTTGTCCGAGATCAAACTTGCCGACCTCAAAGCTCCCTGGACCTTACTGTCCTTTGTGTCAAGTATGCAAGCTTCATGCTTTCCAAGCTCTTGAAATCGCACCTCCTAGCCGAGATTCTGGTTCCATTAATTCGTAAACTCCAAGAGCTTTGCAACTGCTCCACTCACAACTCTCTGGTGAGTTCTGATTTCCAATCATCTATTTGACTCCGGCGATTTTTCATATCGGCGTTCATTTCACTTGGTAGGTTCATAAACTCTTACTGCTATTAAGCTCAATCTTTCATAACTCTTCTAATTTACTTTGAATCTGTTTATTTGCCATCTGTGGCCTTCTGTTCTCGTTTTTTTTGATTTCTTATTGGCTAAAATGCTGGAACTGTTCTTTGTCATATCCGCTTTCTGTTGCTAGCATCATGTCTGGTTCATTACTTTCTTGTTCTTCACATATTTACTTAGTGCCTGCGCACTTGGCTTTATTCTTGAACTTTGTCGTCTTCTTGACTATTTTTCTCTTTTTTTTTCATTTAATCCTCTGGCTTTTTTTCCTTTCTAGCTCTTTTGCTTAAATCTATCATTGTTCCAAGCTTTCAAGCTCTGCAATTGTTTTCGTTCCTCTCCTCCGGTGAAGCTTACGTTATTCTGTTATTTTCGCATCCGTCGTCAGACTTTGGTAATTCTCATTCCGGCTTCCCTCTTTTTGGTAAGCCACTTTTCCTCCTGGTTTTATTTCTTGTTGCTTTCCAAGAAGCTCTGTTTCATTGTTAACCACCATTGTTGTTTTACCCGTTGTTTCCAAATCATCTTCTTGAATATACACTGTTCACATATCTGTTGATTTCTGCCACTGTTCTTGGCTTGATACACCTGTACAATCTTTTTGTCTTGATTTCCTGATAGCTTCATCACTATTTTTGATTTACGAATTACATTCTTGTTTCTGTTTTCTATGTCTTTTCCCAGAGTTTTGCTTTCAATCCTTGCTTTCAAAACGCCGAGGTGCCAATCGCCGAGAAAAGCTTTAATCAAACTCTTCAGGAGATTGATGCTGAGCTTCGTGGCCGAGAAGGCTGCTGAGAAGTTCTTTCCAACTGTCTTCTGGGGGTGAGACACAACCTGCCATTGATACCGAGTAGTTTGCTTCTTTTCTATGTCTTTTCCCAGAGTTTTGCTTTCAATCCTTGCTTTCAAAACGCCGAGGTGCCAATCGCCGAGAAAAGCTTTGATCAAACTCTTCAGGGGGTTGATGCTGAGCTTCGTGGCTGAGAAGGCTGCTGAGAAGTTCTTTCCAACTGTCTTCTGGGAGTGAGACACAACCTGCCACTGATACCGAGTAGTTTGCTTCTTTCTTGAAATTGATGCCGAGGTAACGGTAGAGAAGCTCCTCCAACTGACTGCCGAGGTTGAACCATCGTCGTCCGTCGAAGCAGATCAGTCCGACGTTATTGCTTTCAGTCCCTAGTTCTTTAAGGTCTTCATTTTTGTACTTGCCAACCTTCTCAGCTCTTAACAAGCTAGTTGGTCTTCTTGGATGATCATATCTCGGAAACGTCTTTCAGTGTTATCTCGGCTATACCAAACTTGTAAATTGCTACAAATTTCAACAAGTGGTAGACTTCATAATCTTAGATTAACTCATCTTGTAATTTGCTCAAAAATTTCAACAAGTGTTAACATTCCTTGCTCCTTAATTATCATTCCTTCCCCCTGCACCTTCTCCTTGCCCCCTAATGTGAACATAAGTTATACTTAGGATCACATTAGGGAAGTTGGCTTCGTGCCGTAGTCACAGACCTAATGTGTTCTGCTTTCACCAATGTATTAAAACTTCTGGTATTTAATGCACCCCCTTTAGACCCTCTTTCTCTTGGCCTTTGCAAACTATCATCGCTGTTTCTTGAAACATTTATTCCTTTCACAATTCTGGTCACCACTTCCGCGCGTGCACTTAGTGGTTCTGTTCTAATCAAAACGACGTTTGACTCCGGCGAATCTTTTGCCGACATTTAACTTTGTGCACTCTCAGAATTTCAACAAGTGTTAAACATCATTTCGTTTTAACTTCGTCTTGCTTGCTGGATCCATTGTTACCTCGGCCTCGCTTTGGCAAGCCATCACCATTTTTGATTTACGAATTACATTCTTGTTTCTGTTTTCTATGTCTTTTCCCAGAGTTTTGCTTTCAATCCTTGCTTTCAAAACGCCGAGGTGCCAATCGCCGAGAAA